TTTTTTGAGACAGAGCCTCAAGCTGTTCCCCTGGGTAGAGTGAGTGGTGTGACATCACAGCTCACAGCAACCTCCAACTCCTGAGCTCAAGCGAGTCTCCTGCCTCAGCCTCCCAAGTAGCTGGGACCACAGGCGCCCACCACAACGCCCGGCTATTTTTTGGTTGCAGCCATCATTATTGTTTGGCGGGCCCGGGCTGGATTCGAACCCACCACCTTAGATGTATGTGGCTGGCGCCTTAGCCACTTGAGCCACAGGCGCCAAGCCTAATCTTCTAGTTTCAACTTGGTATTGAGTGCACGTGAGGATTGTTTTTCCATTCTTGTGATACTTAGGAAAATGTTCTCCAAATCCATCTAGGTTGTTAAAAAAGATGCAAAATCTCCATGTATTTTATTGGCTAAATAGTATTCCATGGCACACATAAACCAGAATTTATTAATTCACGCATTGAAGAGCACATGGGTTGTTTCCATATCTTTGCTTTGTGAATTGTGTTGCTAGAAACATCTGAGTACAAATGTCAAAAAAATAAAATAAAATAATAAATTCTGCAGAAGAGAAGATAGCCTTGAAGATGAGGAGCGTAGTAGCCACTGGAAATTGACAACAACCAATTGAGAGCAATCATGGAAGCTGATCTCTTGACAACTGCACAAGAAATTGCTGAAGAATCCAACATGGACCATTCTACTACCATTGTTCAGCATTTGAAGCAAATTAGAAAGGTCAAAAAAGCTTGAAAAGTGGACACCTCATGAGAGGACTGAAAATCAGCCATCGTTTTCAAGTGTTGTGTTCTCTTGCTCTGTAACAACAATGAACCATTTCTTGACTGGATTATGATATGCCAGGGAAGTGGATTCATATGACAACCAGCAACAAGTGGCTGGACCGAGAGGAACCTCCAAAGCCAAACTGGCACCAAAAAAGGCATGGTCACTCTTTGGTGGTCTGCTGCCGGTCTGCATCCCAGAGAAACCATCACATCTTACAAGTATAATGTGGTACACATAAAACTGCAACCCCTGCAGCTGGCCTTGGTCAGCAGAAAGGACCCAGTTCTCCACAACAATGCCCGACTACACCTCATATAACCAAAGCTTCTAAAGTTGAAGAATTGGGTCACGATGTTTTGCCTCACCCACCATGTTCACCTGACCACCTGCCAACAGGCTACCACTTCTTCAAGCACTTGGACAATTTTTGTGGGGAAAACACTTCTAACCAGCAGGATGCAGAAAATGCTTTCCAAGAGTTCAATGAATCCTAAAGCATGGATTTTTATACTATAGAAAGAAACAAACTTACTTCTCATTGGCAACAATTGTGTTGATTGTAATGATTCCTATTTTGATTAATAAACATGTGTTTGAGCCTAGTTATCATGATTTAGTCCAAACTGCAATTACTTTTGCACCAACCTAAATATATACTTCTCATTGACTGGTATCTGGAAATGCCAACCTGTTTTGCAGGAAGAAGAATTTTTCCGGCTTGGCACCTGTGGCTCAAGTGGCTAAGGCGCCAGCCACATACACCTAAGGTGGCGGGTTCGAATCCCCAGCCCGGGCCCGCCAAACAACAATGATGGCTGCAACCAAAAAATGGCCAGGCGTTGTAGCGGGCGCCTGTAGTCCCAGCTACTTGGGAGGCTAAGGCAGGAGACTCACTTGAGCCCAGGAGTTGGAGGTTGCTGTGAGCGTGATGCCATGGCACTCTACCCAGGGGGGATAGCTTGAGGCTCCGTCTCAAAAAAAAAAAAAAAAAAAAGAATTTTTCCTACCCCACTACCCTGTTATATACAGGGTCCACTTCATGTAGGTAGAAGAACCCACTTAGAACAAAAACAGCCATCCTCACCTGTGGGAAGGACACAAATTTTCAAAGACTTACACATAGTCCCCATAGTACAAATGAAGAAAACTAAGAACCACTATGGACCACACTGATACTGCAGCTAAAGACATGAAATGTCACAATGCTAGAGATGACATCATGTTGTGAGCCAGCAAATCAGATACATGCAAACATTTTAACACATAACAATGAAATCCAGAATGAATTTTATGGCCCAAGGGTATAAACACTAGCAATCAAGTTTGTGACAATGCTTGAGAATCCTTTGCTTGCTGAGAGCTTTTGCTAAGGCACTGGCTCACAAGACAGCCTTGCTTCCCTTTCTCAAGTGAAAGGTAAAGCAAGTTCTGTTACCTAACTACTACTAGGGCCACTTCCTTAAATAAACAGACCCTTCTGACAACAAAGCACAGGAACCAGCTCCCAGGAGCCCAGTGGAGCAGGGAAAGGACACCACCTCTACTACTGGCTGCATCACATGAGAAAATCTCACATAAATTTGAGAAGGGGGAGTGGGCTCTACGGCTTCCCACTCAGTGGATACAGTGTGTGGATATCAGCACACTTCCTGGGTGTAGGACACAGCTACAAATCTGACTTTAACCTTTCATATGTAAATTTATAACCTTGGTTTGTAAACCTCATGCTAATCTGAAAAAAAAAAAAAAAAAACAAGTACTCACTGCAACTGCGGCACAATCCCAGAGCTCTCAGAGGCCGGTGTGGCAGGGGTGATGGGGGTCATGGGTGTCAGCGGGGAGGGGTACAGGGGTGTGGTGCCCGGCAGGGGTGCTGTGGTGAGAGTCTGTGAGTGGAAGAGCTGGGGGGCCTGGCCCGAGGCCACCTGCGCTGATTGCTGGGTTGAGGACTGCTGGGCCTGCTGCTGCTGTTGCTGTTGCTGCTGCTGTTGCTGCTGCTGCTGCTGCTGCTGTTGTTGTTGTTGCTGCTGCTGCTGCTGTTGCTGCTGCTGCCTCTGCTGTTCTTCCAAAATGGATAGACTACTGGTGTTCTGCACAGGCTGCGGTGTCAGCCCGGTGCCATAAGGCATCATTGGACTGAAGATGGGAATCCCAGGAGTCATGGCGCCCTGGGAGAGCAAAGAGTAGGTGAGCTGTGTCAGGACAGACACCTTCTGAGTATACTGAGGTTTTACACATTATTAGGGAGGAACTTGCTATTCTCACATTTATCACTTTCTTCTTTAGTATAACAAAGTAGATAACTATGAATTAAAACTGGTAAATTAGACCTCAGATAAAATTAATAACTTCTTTGAAAAACACCATTAAGAAAATTGTAAGACAGGTTAGGAGAAAACATCTATAATATATACACACCTAAGAAAGACATAAAGAGGCTCAGTGCCCATAGCTCAGTGAGTAGGGCGCCAGCCACATACAGCAAGGCTGGTGGGTTCAAGCCCAGCCCAGGCCTGCTAAACAACGACAACTACAACAAAAACATAGCCAGGCCTTGTGACGGGCACCTGTAGTCCCAGCTACTTGGGAAACTGAGGCAAGAAAAATTGCTTAAGCCCCAGAGTTTGAGGTTGCTGTAAGCTGTGATGCCACAGCACTCTACTGAGGGCGACAAAGTGACATTCTATCTCAAAAGACATGAAGAGCTTTTGTAATGCAATAAAAGAGGAACAAGGCTCGGCGCCTGTGGCTCAAGCGGCTAAGGAGCCAGCCACATACACCTAAGGTGGCGGGTTCCAATCCCCAGCCCGGGCCCACCAAACAACAATGATGGCTGCAACCGAAAAAAAAAAAAAAATGGCCAGGCGTTGTGGCGGGTGCCTGTAGTCCCAGCTACTTGGGAGGCGGAGGCAGGAGACTCGCTTGAGCCCAGGAGTTGGAGGTTGCTGTGAACTGTGATGCCACAGCACTCTACCCAGGGGGACAGCTTGAGGCTCTGTCTCAAAAAAAGAAAAAAAAAATGGCCAACAGATGTAAAGGACATTTTACAAATGAAAATATAAGCACACCTCAGAGACACTGAAGGTTTGGTTTTAGACCACTGCAACAAAGCAAATATAGCAATAAAGCAAGTCACACCAATTCTTCAGTTTCTCAGTGCATATGAAAATTATGTTTATGCCATATGGTAGTCTATTAATGCAACAGCACTGTCTAAAATATGGACATACCTTAATTGAAAAGTCTTTTAGTGCTAAAAAATGCTAACAATCACCTGTGCCTTGAGCAAGCCATAATCTTTTTGCTAGTGGAGGGTCTTGCCTCAGTGTTGATGGCTGCCGACTGTTCAGGGTGGAGGTTGCTAGAGAGTGAGGTGGCTATGGTAATGAATTTCTTAAAATAAGACAACAATGAAGTCTGCCCCATCATTTGACTCCTCTTTTCACAAATCATTTCTCCATATCATGTGATTCTGTCTGACAGCATTTCACACATACTGTAACTTCTTCCAAAATTAAAGTCAAGGCAAGCGTAGCGGCTCACGCTTGTAATCCCAGCACTCTGAGAGGCCAAGGCAAGTGGAGTGCTTAAGCTCAGGAATTCGAGATCAGCCTGAGCAAGAGTGACCCTATCTCTATTAAAGATAGAAAAATTAACTACACATGGTGGTGGACACGTGTAGTCAGGGAGACTGAGGCAAGAGTATCACTTGAGCCCAGGAGTTTGAGGTTGCTGTGACCTAGGCTGATGCCACAGCACTCTACCTGGGGTAACAGAGAGAGACTGTCTCAAAAAAAGAAACAAAAAAAGTAGTTAATCCTCTCAAACCCTGCTAATGCTTTATCAACTAAGTTTAGGTAATATTCTAAGTATGTTGTTGTCATTTAACAATGTTCACAGCATCTGAACCAGGAGTTGATTCCATCTTAAACAACCACTTTCTTTGCTCACCCATAAGAAGCAACTCTTCAGGCTAGGCACAGTAGCTCATACCTGTAATCTTAGCATTCTAAGAAACCAAGGCAGGTGGACTGCCTGAGCTCATGGGTTCAAGACCAGCCTGAGCCAGAGACCTCATTTCCAAAAACAGCCAGGCGTTGTGGTGGGCGCCTGTAGAACCAGCTATGCAGAAGACTGAAGCAAAAGAATTGCTTGAGCCCAAGAGTTTGAGGTTGCTGTGTGCTACGATGCCACTGCACTGTACTGGGGGCAAGAAAGTGAGATTCTGTCTCAAAAAAAAAAAAAAACTCTTCACCTGTTCAAGTTTGATCATGACATTGCAATAATTCAGCACATTTCAGGCTCTACTTCTAAATTCTAGTTCTCGCCCTATTTCCACATCTGCAGTTACTTCCTTTGCTAAAGTCTTAAATCCCTTAAAGCAGAGGTTCTCAACCTGTGGGTCACGACCCATAGGAACTGTATTAAAGGGTTGCGGCATTTGGAAGGCTGAGAATCACTGCTCTAAAGCCATCCATGAAGGCTGGGATGAACTTTTTCCAAATTTCTCTTAATGTTGGTATTTTATCCTCCTCCCATGAATCATGAATCTTCATAATGGCATCTAGAATGTCGAGCGCTTTCCAGGAGATTTTCAATTTATACTGCCCTGATCCATCAGAGGAATCACAGCTAGAGCCTTACAAAATGTATTTGTGAAATAAAAAGACTTGAAAGTTGAAATTAGTTCAGAATCCACAGGATACAGACTGGATATTGTGTTAGCAGGCATGAAAACAATATGAATCTCCTTGTATATGTCCATCAGAGCTCTTGGGTAACCAGGTACACTGCCAGTGACAAGCAGTATTTTGGTTTTTCCTTTCTTTTCTTTCTTTCTGACAAGGGGTCTTGCTCTGTTGCCCAGGCTGTAGTACAGTGGTATAATCATAGCTCGCTGCAACCTCAAACTTCTGGCCTCAAGTAATGTTCCTACTTTGGTCTCTCAAAGTACTGAGATTACGGGAGTGAGAAACCATGCCCAGCCAGGGGTAATATTTTCAAAGAAACTTTTCCTGAGCAATAGATCTCAATAGCTGGCTAAAAATATACAGTAGACCACAATGTAACCAGATGTGCTGTAATCTAGGCTTTGTTTTCCATTTACAGCACAGAGTAGATTTAGCATAATTCACTTTTTTTCCATCTTAAGCACTTGTGTCTTAAGATTTGGCATAATTCTTAAGGGCCCTAGGATTTTGGGAATGGTAAATGAGCAGTGGCTTCAACTCAATGTCACCAGCTCCACTGGCCCCTAACAAGAGAGTCAGCCTCTACAGCTATGAAACTCCTAGATGGCGTGTTCTTCCAGTAGTAGAAGCCTGTTTCACTTACACTGAAAATCTGTTTAGTGTAGCCACCCTCTTCAACCATCTCAGCTAGGTCTTCTGGTTAACTTGCTGAAGCTTCTCCATCAGTACCTGCTGCCTTACCTTAAGCCTTTGTGTCATGGAGGCAGCGCCTTTCTTTAAAGCTTATGAATCAACCTCCGCTGGGTTCAAGCTTTTCTTGTGCAGCTTCACCTCTCTCAGCCTTTACCAAAATGGGGGGTCAGGGCCTTGCTCTAGATTCTTGGGTTAACGGAATGTTGTGACTGGTCTGATTTATCCAGACCACTCAAACTTTCTCCATATCAGCAAGAAGGCTGTTTTGCTTTCTTATCATCCATGTGTTCACTAGAGTAGCATTTTTAATTTGCATCTTTCCCTTTGTATTCACAATTTGGCAAAGTGTTTGGCACAAGAGGCCCAGCTTTCAGCCTAGCTTTCAATATGCCTTCCTTACTAAGCTTAATCATTTCTAGCTTCTGATTTAAATGAGAGATGTGTAACTATTTCATTGACTAAATTCATCATCTTACATGGTTAGGCATGGTTTATGACACAAAAACAATTACAATGGCAATATCAAAGATCACCATAAGAGATATAATAATGAAAAGTTTGAAATCTTGTGAGAATTAAAAAAATGTCACAAAGAGAAACAAAGTGAGTACAAGCTACTGGAAAAATAATGCTCACAGACATGCTGGATATAAGGTCACCACAAAACTTCACTTTGTGAAAAACACAATGTCTGAAGTAGAATAAAACAGGGTGACCTATGTACAAATGGCCAATAAGCACTTGCCAAATGTTTAGGATCATTAGTCATCAGAAAAATAAAAATTAAAACACTGAAATACCACTAAGCAACCACAAAAGTGGCTGAATGGAAAAATATTGACAGCGCAAAGAATTGGTGAGGATGTAGAACCAGAACTCTATTATTCTGCAGGTGGACCTGCAAAACAATGCAGCCACTGTAGAAACGGCTTGGCAGTTTCTTATGAAGTTACATATGCACTGATATGACCTCGCAATCCCAAGTACTTAGAACTTAAAATTACAAAGTACACAAACATGTATAGTACCTTTACTCAAAATAGCCCCAAACTGGACACAACCCAAACGTGAGCACCTGGAGAATGATGACAAACTGTGGAGCCTCCCTACAATGTGGAGTGATTTGCAATAGAGAGGAACAAAGCACTGACATACAGATGCCACAGTGGGTGAGGAAGACACACGCACACAAAAAGTATACACAGTCTCATTCCATATATGATCAAGAATTTCTAGAGTAAGCAAAACAAACCATTAGTGGTGAAAAGCAAATTCAGTAGTTACCTGGAGCTAGGGAAAAAACTACAAAGGGGCAAGAAGAGACTTTTTTGGGTAAGTGAAATGTTCTGTAACTTAAACAGGTATATTAAAACATATTCTTGGCTCAGCGCTCATAGCACAGTAGTTATAGCGCCAGCCACATACACCGAGGCTGGCAGATTTGAACCTGGCCCAGGCCAGCTAAACAAAAATGGCAACTGCAACAAAAAATAGCCAGGCATTGTAATGGGTGCCTGTAGTCCCAGCCACTTGGGAGCCTGAGGTAAGAGAATCACTAAAGCCCAAGAGTTTGAGGTTGCTGTGAGCTGTGATACTACAGCACTCTACTAAGGGTGACATAGTGAAACTCTGTCTCAATTAAAAAAAATAAAAAAAAAAAAAGGCTCAGTGCCCATGTGGTTATTGTGCCAGCCACATACACCAAGGCTGGCAGGTTCAAATCCAGCTAGGGTCAACTACAACAAAAAAATCACCGGGCATTGTGGCAGGTGCCTGTAGTCCCAGCTACTGGGAGGCTGAGGCAAGAGAATCACTTAAGCCCAGGAGTTTGAGGTTGCTGTTAGCAACAATGCCATGGCACTATACCGAGGGCAACACAGTGAGACTCTGTCTCCAAAAAAAAAAAAAAATTCTTAAAGTGTTTTTATTGAATCTATATTATACTTCAACAAAATTTATTGATAAATTTTAAAAGTAAATCTGTGATTTGGAACTTTAAACATAAAATGGAAAAGACAAAACTAGAAAATGATTTGGTAAGGGTGTTCTTCAAAATCAAATACCATATATAATCCTTTGGAATATTCTTATAAGTGTTTATCAAAAGATTAAGTGTTTTGTAGACAAATGCATAATTTAGCTTCTAAATTAACTCCCCAAATAAAATACTATCTTGCCTATTCAAACCATGATGGAACTTATGAACAAAATATACTTAAAAAATATATAAAATCATTTTCAATGATAAATTCTTAAGTGCTACTCTCTCCATCAGACACTGTCTCCTGCACTACAGACATCTACCCTTCCTGTACCTCCCGCTGCCTTACCTGAGGAGAGGCCAAGCCCTGGGCATAAGGTGGCAAGCTGTTGTTCTGATCCATGATACTCGGTTTCTTCTTGGCAAACCAAAACCCCTTGCACCAGAACTTGTCTCAGCATCCAGTATATCCCTAGAGCATCCCCAGCACACTCTTCTTAGTAGCGCTTTAAATTGCTGGGTTATCGTCACACACCAAGAATCAGGGATGCTTCTGTGAAAAAAAGTCCAAGTGTAAGGATCCAGGTAAACTATGAAGTCTTAATAACCAAGTTTCACCACTACACAAAACACAAGAAAAGCAGAGAAGTGATTTTGAAACACATTTCTACCTTATAATCTAAAGCTTTATTTCTTCCATGTTTCACGTGATTACATGCAAAATTGCCAACAAAACGAAAATCATTGTTTCAAATTCAATTTAAATACTCTGACAGTACTCAAAATTAATTAAGTCCTAACTTGCCTTAAAAATTTTTGGAGAGGCTCGGTGTCTGTAGTACAGTGGTTACAGCTCCAGCCACATACACTGAGGGTGCCGTTCAAACCTCGCCTGGCCCACCTAAATACCAACGACAACTGCAACAAAAAATAGCCAGGCATTGTGGTGGGTGCCTGTAGTCCCAGCAACTTGGGAGGCTGAGGCAAGAGAATCACTTGAGTTCAAGAGTCTGAGGTTGCTGTGAGCTGTGATACCACGTTACTCTATCAAGGGCGACACTGTGAGACTCTGTCCCCCACCCCAAAAAAAAACTTTTGCAGAAAAACATCTAGAGAAAATGAAGTTCTAAGCAAACTGCAGTAACAGGGAATATTTATTAAGCACTATATACACAGCTTGATTAAGCCAAGTTCAGGTTTTTAAATATTCCATTCAATGTTATATATACCACAATGTCTTAGACATAAATTTCAATAAATATTGAACTGAACCCAATATGCTTAGTGTGATCTTTTCTTGAGCTCTTGCTGTAATGAAAGACTATAAAAGAAGCTATACAGATACACAGTAACATAACATTGTTTTTAATAACCTTACCTCTTTAGAACACATTAATGCAAACTGTGCCTACATTTGGCTTTTCTTAAATCACCATCTCTTTACTGGCTACATATCTAAAATTGGTTTTCCATTAAAGAACCTAGTGACTGCTGAAGTTTAGGCAGACCCCTAACTTGCTTGGGGGTGCTGTGAAAGCTGACTGAATCAACACAGGATATTTGTTTGTTTTTATCTCCTTGCTTATATTTCTTTGCTTTTTTTTTGTTGTTGTTGAGACAGTGTCCTACTCTATGCCCCTAAGCAGAGTGCAGTGGTACTGTAGCTCACTGCAACCTCAGACTTGGGCTGTGGAAATCCCGCTGCCACTGGGATTACAGGCACTCAACATGGCACCCGGCTGGGTTTTTCCTTTTTTTTCATGAGTCAGGGTCTCACTCTCACTCAGGTGAGTCTGGAACTCCTGAGCTCAAGCAATTCTCCCTCCTCAGCCTCCCACAGTACTGTTATTACAGGCGTGAGCCACCATGCCAACACAAGACTGAGTGACAGAGTTAACACAACAAGGACAGGGTCTAAGCCTGGCACAGTGGCTCATGCCTGTAATCCTAGCACTCTGGGAGGCTGAAGCTGGTGGACAGCCTGAGCTCATGGGTTCCAGACTAGCCTGAGCAAGAGCAAGACCCCGTCTCTAAAAATAGCTGGGTGTTGTAGCGGGTGACTTTAGTCCCAGCTACTCAGGAGGCTGGGGCAAGAGAATCACTTGAGCCCAAAAGTTAGAGGTTGCTGTGAGCTATGACGCCAGGGAACTTTACCAAAGGTGACAAAATGAAGCTCTGACTCAAAAAAAAAAAAAAAAAGAAAGAAAGAAAAACCATAATAAGTGCTATAATAGCCAGTAGGTGCTAAGCTAAGCTTTTTAAGTGCAGAAAACAGTATACGGCATGTGATCAGAATGAATACACACACTATGGAAAAATAAATAATATAGACTAATGGGGGCAGTGCCTGTGGCTCAAAGGAGTAAAGCGCCAGCCCCATATGCCGGTGGTGGTGGGTTCAAACCTATCCTCGGCCGAAAAAAAAAACACCATAAAAACTAAAACTGCAATATAGACTAATAGCCAACGACCATGAAGAGAGGGCAGTGTTCTCACAAGGCAGGTTACACCCATCTAACTTGGTCTAACAAGGTGAGTAGGAATTCACAAATCAGAGGTTCAGGCAAAAGAAAAAACAAGCACAAAGAGGCAAAGATTGAGAGAACATGCAAGCAACATGCTTAGTCCAGTTGTTTGAAAGGAAAGGTAACTGCAGCACGCACAGGTGGGGTCACGTTATCAGGAATTTTAGATCTTATTACATGGGCAATTATAACAGTTATAGCATTTTTGAAGTGCAGCATGAGCAGATCTAATTTAGCAACACCGGAGATGAATTCGAGGGGAGTAAAACTGAAAGATCAGTTTACCGGGTCACTCCTAAGGTTGAAGAACACGATAATGAGGGGAGGAGAAAGTAAAGCACTAGTTAAAGTATGACTGGGCATTTATCAGACCCTTAGGAGGCGCCGGACCACATTGCAAACTGAATCTAGAAAAGAAAGTTTACCTAAAGTTGGGGCCTTAAGTCAGGCTATTCAGAGCTCTTCTCTCACTCCCGCCAAAGGCACTGGGGGCCTTTCCTCACCTGTATCATAAACTGTTTTCAGAGTGTCTTCATCTCTCGGAAACTGAAGCACCAAGTTAATTCTGCAAAAAATTCTGTCCGCTTAACTCAACAAAGCATAATCTTTTCACAGAAAAGCCTACTGTTTTGTAAAGCCACTCTGACCCGAGGCGAGAGATGGCGTGTGGGGGGTAGGGGAGGCTTGTAGTGTTTATCGTAAGTGCTACCGTTAAAAAGTCGCGAGCACAACTTTACAATAAAACCACCCTTGTTGGTAGCACAACAGGAGGGCATAGACCAGGGTGTATCTGCTTCCTCACTTGGAGTAGCGAATGACAACAGGAGGCATGGCGAACTCCAGGTCGTCGACACGCGCCACAGCCCTGGCCTGGCCCTGCCCCTCCGAGCGCCCCGCCATCGCAGAAACCGCTTTCGAACCACAGCAGAGTGGGGGCGGCGGCCTAAAGGCCGGAGGCCGCATCCGCGGCAGCACGAGAGGAAGAAACGTTCCCCACGGGGCCTGCGTGACCACTCCGCAACTCCTCCCGTCATCGCCCCCAGGCCTCACTGCAGTGACTGCTTCTGCCTCGGCCCTCAGATAAGAGGAAAAGCTAAAGGAGGCGTTACCTGGAGTCACTGCAGGGATCACTAACCGCGACGAAACGAAGTTAAACGGCCGGCGGCTCAGGCGCCCGCCACGGCAACCCTTTTCCACCCAACTGAACCCTTGGCGCGTTTTGATAATGTCACTTCCGCCAGTTCTGTGTTCGGCTTCAGCAGGGTGGCTGGGCTGGAGCGGAGCCCTAGGAAGTGTGGGCTCGAGTCACTTCCTGGATTTCCCTAGGCGTTTGGATTATGGGAAAGGAGAGAAGCGCTTCCGGAGTTCTGGGGCGGGGCCGCCTGGCAAAGCCTTTTCTAATTGGTCCTTGCTGCCGGTAGGCGAGAAGAAGTTTTTTAAATGTTGGTTTTACTCAATTGGCAGCTCCCAATTGAGTACGCTCGGCACTCCAGGAGGCCAAGCCGAGGATCCCCTGAGCTCAGGAGCTGAAGACCAGCCTAAGCAGGAGCGAGACCCATCTCTACTAAAAATAGAAAAACTAGCCAGGCGTGGTGACGGGGCTTTTAGTCCCAGCTACTTGGGAAGCAGAGGCAAGAGAATCACTTCAGCCCAGGAATTTGAGGTTATTGTGAGCTGTGCCGCTACAGCACTCCACCCAGGACGACAGAAAAGAAAAATGAAATGTTGGGTTTTTTGTTTTCTTTTGTGTGTGTGTGTGTTTTAAACCAACTAGCGGTTTGGCAAGTTATCTGATTTCTCAGCTGAGGTTCCTGTTGTAAAATTGAATAATGATAATAGTGCTGTGAACTAAAATAAAACCTTTTATTCTTCTGACTGGTTTCATCACAAAATTTAACAATTCTCCAGTGTCTTAGCTCCCTCATATTCCAAAGGAGTTTCTAATGTTCACATTAGAACTGAAGCAGGCGGCTAAGTGGCCTTGACTGGACAGGGATGAAACAGTGAGTGTTATCTCAGCTCCAGTGGCCTTGCAATGACAGTGTTACAAAAAGCAGAGAAGAGACAGAAAAGTCTCAGTACAAACTGAACAGAACTTTGTAATTTTCTGTACACTGATACAATTTCTTTGAGTTTTCCCCAGGAAACAGCAGAACCTCCTTGCAGCCCTGAGATAACTCCAGCACCGTACTCTACCAGAATGTCCGGAGAATGTCAAGATAAGCGATGCACCACCACAGATTGTGACCAAGAGCCACTGAGCCTGTGCACAAGGCTGAAAGAATGTGCTCACGTGCCCTGTACTCCACTCCGATTCTTAGTGTTGTAAATTTAACTCCCTTCCTAAAGGCATCTATCTTGAGTAGTTTAACTGGATTGATTTAGGAGATTAACTTTTGGTCTCGAACCTGTGAGCTTAGGCAAGATACCTGCCTTGGCCTCCCAAGTACTGGGATTACAGACATGAGTCACTGCACCCAGCCAGGTTAAGGGGTTTTTATGGAGGTGAAACTGAATAATGCAGAAAGGGAACGAACCACATTGCATCTTTGGGGCAGAGTACAAGGCACACAAGCACAGCGGGGAAATCATGCCAGTTCATACATCTCACAAACAGAAAATGGTGGCTAAATCCCTCCCCAGGGTGGGAATTTTAGTATTATAATGAGCTAGGAGTTAATATTGTTCATTCTTTCAGCCTTGTGCACAGGCTCAGTGGCTCTTGGTCACAATCTGTGGTGGTGCATCGCTTATCTTGACATTCTCCGGACATTCTGGTAGAGAACGGTGCTGGAGTTACCTCAGGGCTGCAAGGAGGTTCTGCTGTTTCCTGGGGAAAACTCAAAGAAATTGTATCAGTGTACAGAAAATTACAAAGTTCTGTTCAGTTTGTACTGAGACTTCTATGTCTCTTCTCTGCTTTTTGTAACACTGTCATTGCAAGGCCACTGGAGCTGAGATAACACTCACTGTTTCATCCCTGTCCAGTCAAGGCCACTTAGCCGCCTGCTTCAGTTCTAATGTGAACATTAGAAACTCCTTTGGAATATGAGGGAGCTAAGACACTGGAGAATTGTTAAATTTTGTGATGAAACTGGTCACAATTCCTGCCTCCCTGAAATGTATAAAATCAAACTGTAACCCAACCACCATGAGACTACATGCTCAAAGCTTCTTGGGTATGGCTCTCTGGGCTGTGGTTGTACATATCAGCTCAGAATAAACCTCTGTAAATTGTTTACCAGAGTTTGGGTTCTTTTCCATTAACATTGTATACCTCTAAGTTATATAGTATGCATTCTTTTTCTCAATGTTATGTTTGTAAGAGTCACCCATGTTTATATTCCTTGGTATGTCTCTTAGCTAGCTTTAGTGGGTTAATATTTTCTGTGACGTATCCTATTGTATGAATATCTCTCAATTAATTTATCCTAAGTGGTCTTTATGGACATTTGGCTCATTTACAGCTTGGGGACATTTATAACAATGCTATCTGGATACTCTTGTTCATGACATCTGGGTAGGATATAAACCTAGGTGTGCAATTGCTGGGTCCATGTAAGTATGTACATGTTAAACTATGACAGATGATACCAGTTCCTTTACAAAATACCGTGCCAATTTACACTCCCACCAACAGGCCATCCTGGTTTCTCTTGCTTGTTGCTCCGAAGTTTTACCATTTTTTTTTTGTATGTTCAGACTTTTAATGTTTTGTCCATCCAGAGTGAATGTCTGTTTTTTCAGGGAAAGAAATCTGTATATCGGCTCAGCGTCTGTGGCTCAAGTGGCTCAGGCGCTAGCCACATACACCTAAGGTAGCCGGTTCGAATCCAGCCTGGGCCCGCCAAACAACAATGACAGCTGCAACCAAAAAATAGCCGGGC